TTGAAGAAAAGACGTTTTGGAAGCTGATCTGATTACTGTCAGGGAAAGTGCTGAAACTCAATTGTTGGCAAATGTCCAGTACCCATCACTGAATGATCATCACCTCATCATTCAGCCTTCTCAACTGACATGCAAAACAACATCCAAATATTCATTGCACATCTGTGCTGGACAGATTATGCATTAGCAATTCAAATCAATTCAATGTACAGGCAGTTTCTGTAAAGGCGTCTGTTTGGGTGAGATGCCTTGTTGTCTGGGATGGATAATAAGGCAACTCTGTCTAATCTTGGAGAACAATCAACCCATCTTGAGAAGGTGACTGACTACGTATGCTCTTGCCCTGACAGCACTAGAACAATGGCCCCATAATGCACTTGACTCAGCTGGTAATAAAATCTACTTTTGATTAGCAGCCATGGCTTGTGTCAATCACTGCATGATGTACCATTGTCCTCTGGTCTTGAACACAGTTTATTTACAGGGAAACAAAAGCTTTTTGGATATGGCTGCTGCCCAGAGATTGCAAAATAGATTGAGCTGTCAGCCTCACACACTAGATGAAGATTAATGAGTTGTGCAGACAATAAATATGAAGCAATGACCATAAATATGCTAATAGGTATTATCCATATACACTATAATTGCTACAAAAATTAAAAAGTAGTGTGAAGGAAATAGGTCACAGGGTGACAGATAGATAATCTTGGATGCTGAAGATCTTTGGTTCAGTCAGATTCTCTACAGGTTTATTTCCTTCAATTAGACCCTTCAAAAGAGTAATTGTTTAAAAGCTGTTTGAATAATCTCTTTTGAAACAGAGGTTTATGGGAAAATGTTTATGAAAAAGTTACTTCAATGGACATGTTATTGGAATGAAAAAGGTGACTACCAAAAGAAGGCTACACAGAGATTAATGTCTGTGATGAGCTGCCCAGCTTCACTATGAGGAAAATATCTCTAAGTGGCACACTAGCGAGGACTCCAAGGAAATCATACGGAAGAGACACAGCAGCTTATATCCACAGACACAAGTGAATAAGGTCATTCCTGAGCAATATATAGAAGAGTTGCATGCACATCTGGTTGTGTTGGTTGATTTGGGGTTTTCAGCTTAGTGTGCCTTTTTTCTTTTTTTTTTTTTTTTTTTTTTTTTTCTTTAAAAAAAAATCAAAAAAACTGAAGGAGGGAAGGATGCCCACAGCTCAGATTTTCAGAGTACTTCCAATCAAGGCTCTGGTTTTCCAATTCCTTTCAAAGAGCACACAGTCTAGACAGCACATGATTTTTGGCACTTAAGGATTTCATTTGAACCTGAAACTCAGGGAGTTAAACATCAAACTATGTTAGCTACATGTATAAATGCTTCAGCACCTCAGGCTACTGAAATTGTAGTGACGCTGAAAATAAAGGCAGTTGTACTCTTGGTATTCATGGCTTTGACTCTCTGTTCTCTGAGGCTTAGAAGTGCCGCTGGATGCTTTTCAGGTCAGCTTACACCACCCATCTCCTGTCCTCAGATTTTTAGCTTCTGGAGCAGGGAAATTAATCAGATACTCTCCCAGATCCAATTTACTGTTATAATGTCAGGCTCAGAGATACAAATGAGTTATTTACCATACTTTAACTAGAAGTTGCATCAGTTTGGCTCTTAAATTAGCACTGCTTGGATTTTTGGCAAACAATCCACAAAGACTTACAACTGCCTTAGTGCTTCTGTGCCAGGCTCCCTGCAAACTCAGCTGGACATCAACTACACTTGCCTAACATCCTGGAAGTTACACTTTCTAACCAGAAATACCAGTTAAAAAAAAGCAAAACCAAAAAAGGTAGGGAACCATTTAGGGAAACATCTCACACAAAGCTGGCAGGTGAGAGGAGAAGCACGACTTTCTGGATGAATCAGTGGAGGGAGAGGACCTCTGGAAGATGTGGGCTCAGGGACTGAGTTCTTGCTCCCAGTCCCACCTCATCAGAGACACTGAGTCTTCTTAAACTGGAGGCTGTGATGTTAGTCATGTCACACATTGCCAGGGCACAGCAAGACCCCTTCCCACCACCCCAAGCAGGGTGAGCACAGCAGACCCAGAGATGATAGGCAGGTTGAACCAAGAGTCCAAACCATGAGGAAAATTTGTAGTGGTAAAGTCAGTCCAAGGTCAAGCCAGAAACATGAGTCAACAAATCAAGTTCAGGCCTGGTGATGGTAGCCAGGGTCAGTCCTGTGATTGCTGGGCAAGTCTATCCTTGCTAATCAGGCAGGTCCAAGGTCAAGCCATGAAGACAGGCTGCAGCTCAGTCTGGATCAATGAGGTATGGCTGTGATGGAGCTGCAGACAGGTGCACCTACAGCATCGCTCAGGCAGGGACTGAAGGCCCATGGGAGGCTGGCCAGGGCTGTTAAGACCTAATAGCGGACTCAGCCCTGACACAGGTACAAGAGATTGACCTTGTTTTCATTCATTTTCATACAACAGATTGTCCCAAGTTTTCATAATAAGCTGGAAACAAGTAAAAGCAAACCCCTTCCAGGTCAGAACTTCTCCATAACTTACATTTGCCGTGCCACTACAGTAACGAGAGCATGAAGGCAGGCAGAGCTCAGCTGTTTTAAGCATGTTATATGTGCCTGCTCACTGCAACTGCTGTTTATCATCCAACTCACTACGACCACGTAGCAGATTTTAGAGCAACCTCCTTGCTGACTAGGTCCATGGCACAGGTAAATAGAGGCTTCCCTTGAATCCGTTCGGTGGCTTCCCTCACCTTATTATGCTGAGTTTCTTCACCTTGTTTTTATGAGACTACTATTAATTTCTCCTTCCCCTGCTTATTCACTGATGTCTCTGCCAATCATGAATTGCCTTGAGGCACTTTGCTTGCAAATAAAACTGTTATTTTATCTAATTTTAACTATTTTTAGTTAAACAACTTTGTACATCCATTATAAATTGTGTTTTAGGATTGAGTAAAAGGTCATCACATATAGACTCTCTGCAACTTTGCGAAGGTTTTGTTCCCCATGGCTTTGCCAGACTTCATCATCTTTTCCTGATGGCCTGTTTGGAATATTAAATAAATGATATTAACAAAGCACCAAAAGATTTTAGCAGTTTTGAAGGAAGGATCTATAGCAATATGTACAAAGAAAGTGACATTTTTGGTTTTATTGTCACTTTGAAGAGGGCCTATAGCATTAATTGTCCTGTTCTTACATGGAATTTTACTTGCATTTAAGCTGCAACTTTAGATATTTTACAACATTAAGTAATTCAAAATGATAAATGAGAGACTTGAGAAATTATGGGGATAAAGATGTATCATAATTACAGAAGCCCTAATGCAAGCAGAGTAGAAAATAAAAATAACAAACAGCATCATGGTTTAACCCCAGCCAGCATCTCAGCCACATGCAGCCACTCACTCACTCCTCCCTGGTGGGATGGGGGAGAGAATCGGAACAGTGAAAGTGAGAAAACTCGTGGGTTGAGAGAAAGACAGTTTAATAGGTAAAGCAAAAGCTGCGTGTGCAAGCAAAGCGAACCAAGGAATTCATTCACCACTTCCCATGGGCAGGCAGGTGTTCAGCCATCTCCAGGAAAGCAGGGCTCTGTCACGCATAACGGTTACTTGGGAAGACAAACGCCATCACTCTGAATGTCCCCCTCTTCCTTCCTCTTCCCCCAGCCCCTTATATGCTGAGCATGATGCCATATGGTATGGAATATCCCTTTGGTCAGTTGGGATCAGCTGTCCCGACTGTGTCCCCTCCCAACTCCTTGTGCACCCCCAGCCTACTCGCTGGTGGGATGGGGTGAGGAGCAGAAAGTGCCTTGGCTCTGTGTAAGCACTGCTCAGCAGTAATGAAAACATCTCTGAGTTATCAACATTGTTTTCAGCACAAATGCAAAACATAGCCTCATACTAGCTACTATGAAGAAAATTAACTCTATCCCAGCCAAAACCAGCATAATTAGAATTAAGGATAACTAACATATATGAGTTAAAGAAAAATTGAATGCAAGAAAAGAGTTAAAAAACCAGTGCTGCTCAGAGGTACATGGGCCAGATATCCACTGCTCAGATAAATAACACATATAAGAAGAGACAAATGGACTTTATATCCTTTGTTGTATAACCCACTGTGTACAAGATACAGATATGATACAACAGTGAAAGTGTTATGTTTTTATTCTATATGTTTTCACTTGGAGAGACATCTCTGTGGTAGTGCGACCTAATCAGATATTCCTCTTTACCTAAGGAGGAAAGAGGAGACCCATGGATTTGTGAACAGCCTTATTTAAACTACTGGCTAAGAAAAACTGAAATAAAGGAATGCGTGCCATTTGCAAAGGCCTATTCATCCAAGATGGAGGCTCTGCTTTAGCAGGATTTGCATGAGGAAGAACAAAACATCTGTGTTAATCTGCCTGCATAATGTAAGGTCCCCTAACAGTTCTTTCCATAAAGAAATTAATTTCAACCATCCGTTGTTAATTGAGTTCTGATTTTCAGCTCTCTGTAAACCATTTTTTTCAGGAGTAGCTGTACCACAGCTGAACTCTGGGTGCTATAACCACCTTAAGTTGCAGTTTCCACATGACCACCACCTTGCTGCCTTTTTGTCTATTGTCTTTACTCAGAGTTGTATTAGTTCTTAAAATGAGGGGCTATCTTCTACAGGTACAGATCAGTACAATGGAGTGCAATGCAAAAGAATGAAGAAGGAAAGTTCTCAGCCACGTGAGTTGCCAATCAATGCTTCCTCTGCTACTAATTTGCTTTAGTATCATAAGAGGAGATAAGTTAGTTTGCCTGAACTTCACCTTGCAGTTTCACAAAGTTCAGTTTCATTTCCTGTAGAAGGGTAAGTTTTGGTTTCATTTCTCCCTGGTGATGGTAGCAGTTTCATTTCTTTGCTGCTAGCTAGACAGTGTATAAAAAGACTGGCTGAGCCTTGCGATGCTTCAGTCGATTCCACAACACCAGAAAGAAAAATGTCTGACCAAAACGTCCACAAAGCTGGTTTTACTTCCTCTGGGATCACAAAAGGATCGACTGGTTCATCAATGATGTCCAAGGAAGCAAAATGTTCTGGGGGAGGCGTGCGGTCTGGAGGCCCTACTGCTACTCTCCAGGAAATGGGTATGAGTAATTTCCTCTGTTTGTGTGGTTTAGTGCATAGAGTGAAACATTTTTTTTTCCTGAAAATAAGCTTGCCAAGTAATTTCTTCTCTCCTACGTTCCTGTATTGCACTGAAGACAAAAGACCCCTGTATTTAACTGCATGTTATGAGCGGGATGCTATTAAGGGTGTTTTCTGTGTATGTATGTATGCATGAATGTAGACGTACATACGTGGTATTCATGAGGGTAGGGACAGTGTTTATTTGAAGTTTGTGCTATCTCTCCGTCCTGCTAGGAATCATCAATAACATGGAAAGTCATGGCAGCAATAAGCAAAGACACACTTATGCAAGAACATGATCTGTGTACCTACATTTCACATAAAGTATCAGATCTCCCTTGCTCTTTACTCACACACATCCATACGGGGAGAACCCGTAAAACCTTATGCAAACGCTATAGCAGAGGGAAATTAGTTGCAGTCCAAGAGCTGAATTCACAAAGGGGATATATACACATCCTTGACAGCATATATCTAAGTACTAAAATTAGGCATAGCTGGCTTTCACATGAGCTAACCCCACAGGTGCTTGCTTTTCTGTTGCATGCACAGAGCAATCCCTGACCTGACGACTCTAAGCAGCTTGGCACTTGTTTAACCCCAGATCCCGTGGGATTCATGCACGAGATATTCTCCCTGCCAGTCCTGCCTGTGTGACCTGATTCAGCAGGCATCCTGTAAGCAAGCAAAACTCCACAGAAGAGAGTGTCCCATGTAATCCTGCTTTACCCAGCAGCACAGGAGTTAGCTCAATGACCTTGGATAAAGGCTTCAAACCCCTTTCTGCTTTAGGGTTCTTGGACCCACATCTCCCATGTGTCAGGAGTGTGCTAACCAACAGGCTGGTTATGGGTGGGGATCACTGCTGTACTGGTCAACTGCTGGTCTGCTCCTTTTGTATTAAGCAGCTAGAAGTCTGCTGAAGGATGGAGCTAAACCTGACTCTTCCAGCCATAAAATGGGTGTTTGGCCAGGTGAGCTGGCCAGGGTCCAGATTTGGGGCATATTTTAGTAGTAAAAAATGTGATAAGCTTGATGGAGATGAAGTTATTTTTTTTAAGATACGATTTGCATCGCTGCCAATATTATTCATAGCATGAAGCTCTCTAGACAGTGAGACAGTAAGTGACATAAGGGTCTTTCAGAGAGATACTGCAGGTGACTCCTGCGAGGCATTTTTTAATTTTTACTCTGTATGATTTAGTCAGTGAGTTTTAGTTACTGAATACAGTGTTTATTGAATATGCAATAGCAAAGGGCTTAAGGGATGGTAGCAGCAGAGAGACAGAATATGAGACAGTCAGGAGAGAAGGAGGACCATGAGACTGACGAGCAGGAAGAGCTGCTCTCAGGCACCATGCTGCATTAGCAGCAGAGATCCTGGCCCACAGGAGATGACAGCTGCTTAGTCTAATTGTACACTAGAGCGGACTCAGCTGCACAGTCTTGCCTTCTGTTACACATAAGGGTGGTACAGCAGTACTCAGCACACCCATAACCAGTGGCAAACTCTTCAGTGGTGGTGCCCTGTAGAGAGCATGAAGTTGCAGTTTCTAACCTAAAAGACTGAAGACTTAGAATCATAGAACAGTTTGGGTTGGAAGGGACCTCAAAGATCATCTAGTTCCAAACCCCCCTGCCATGGGCAGGGACACCCTCCACTAGATCACGTTGCCCAAAGCCCCATCCAGCCTGGCCTTGAACACTTCCAGGGAGGGG